ATTAACAGTTATTTGATAACTGTCTCGTTTGATGGAATTAACATTTATCCATTTTTGTTTCATTTCCTCCCTTTTCGGCAACCTAAATACAGATACTTTATGCCCATTTTTGTAGTTCACTTTACACCTTGGAACTACACACGCATATTGCATTGTTAAAAGCTGTAAAATAATGCAACATATATATTTTGGTTTAAAACAACATCTCTGACGGACAAACGACACTGCTATTCAATGAAGAACAAATATTTGAAATTGGCGGCTAATCGTATATCAGCTATTCATCTCTGTATGTGACGTCACTAAAAGACCTTGGTGATCTCAACATCCTTATTTCTCGGTGGCTATGATTGGATGGCCCACGTGATTTGAATGAGTGATGAGAATACAATTAATAAGATTAGATCCACTGGAACAAGAAATCAGGGAAGGCCGCAGTTGAGATTTATCTGGCTCGGAGGAGTTTGATTTTCTTGCAATTAATGAAAAGAATTGGAGATCAAAGATAAATCGGAAGTCATTATGGAGAAATCTTCAGAGGAAGGCATTGGCCCACATTATACTGTCTGGCAAACTATGATGATTTCAGACAAAGAAAATTTTCATGGATTGTCTTAAACTCATGATAGGTTAAATTATTGAAGATATTTATCTTTTTGGACATGTTTAGCAAATTTAAGACTAATTTATTTTATGCATGAAATTCAAGGAACTAGTGTGTGTATTTCGATTTAGTCTCCTCAAAAATTGGACATCAGCTCTGTCCATGTTTTTCTTGTTCTATTATATATAGTAAAATGAGTAGCCCAAAAAAGTAAGATTTGTTGAAGAATTAAAAAGTGATTCTTATGAAAATATTCCTCAAATATTAGCACTGAAATGTATCTGCGCAACTTAGATTTTAGATATTCAAAAAAATTGAATATTCTTTTATATCAATATTTATTAAAAATTTGCAATAGAGTTTATGACTTCTTTAATCAAATATTTTAAAGTGAAGTTTCAATAATTTCTAACTGAAAACACAGTGACTGTCTCTTAGCATTTGTATTCAAAAATAATTCTCTGTCTGGGTTATTAATTAAATAAAAAGATAGATCAAAATTCACATCTTTTCGATTATTCAAACTAATAATTTTAACTGTATTAGCATTCATGGAAAATGGGATGTTCCGTACACCCACAAATTAGAAATGTAGGGACAAAAGGCTGAAAATAAAGGATAGGTGACAAAATATTTTTTTATCGGGAAAATTAGAAATTTCAGAACTACTGACTCTGATATTCTTAAATTGAAACCAGGGTTAGCAAGCTTTTGACAATTGACGGTTTTAACCATAATTCCATCCGTCATGTCAAAACCCTAAATTTTAGTGTAAAGCTAATTATTAACTATTATAAATAAGTATATATAAATAAACATACATATAAAATTACAAGTGATCAATCAATTATATTCTAGAATTATTTTGACTCTTTTTTTTTTGTTTGTTTGTTTTTTTGTTTTGACAATTGCTATCAAAAACCCAAATTTTAGTGTAGAAAATATTAAATAACTATATATAACAATGTGTAAAAATGAAATTAATTTAAATTATTTCCTCTAATTAAATTATTTCTGTTAGTTTTTTAAATTATTGAAAATAAAAAGACAAAAATATGGAAACCTGAAACATGCTATTACAGGGGAAAAAAGAGAAAAAAAGTTTTGAAGCCATCTGAACTTCAAGTTCATTTTTCAGTTTTCTATGAATAAGACTGAAATTCGAAACTATTCTTTCGATTGATTCTAAGCTGCATAGTCTAGAAAGTAGAAGTACTAAAGCTATTATAAAATAATAAAATAACATGTACTAGAAAATTTATCTTAGTAACTGTACTAAATAGTAATTTAGTAAAACCATTGAATTGATTGATTGAAAAAATTATTAGCTCATTTAATAATTTTTTCAATCAATCAATTCACATTGCATATCTTTTTTTTATAAATTTTACTTAGTTCATTAATTAGTGAACTAATTATACATTAATAAAATTAACACTAATTCACTAATATTGGAAATATTCATGTACATATAAGCAGGAGTGCAGAAAATTCTCAGAGCTTAATATTTACAATGAACAGTTTTTTTTTTATATCAAAATTTCCCCTGGAATTTTAGCTTTTTTTTTTTTCAAAAAAGTTTTTTGGGGAAATAAAGTATATAAAAGAGAAAGAATTAATTTAAATTTAATACAATTGTTGAATAAGCGAGCATATGTCAAATATATTGAAATAGTAATAATTAATTCATTTAAATTTAAGGTCTCACTTATCAACTAAGGAATTCAAACTAATAAATACACAAATTGACATGTTTTTTTTTTTTTAAGAAAAAGTTTTACAAAGGCACACATTTTTTAACAAAAAATTTTCTAGGAATTTTTTTAGACCAAAAATTTTCCCATTGCTGCCTGAATACCCCCCAAAGCCATGTTCATATGGTCAGACATATTGTGCTCCCATGAATGTAATTAACCATCTGTCGGCACTGCACATAAAAAGCCATATTTTAACCTGCAGTCTTCTCCGCATAGCTATACCAGTTTTTTCTCTCCATGTTATTAGAAACGGAAATAGTGTATAGGGGAGAAACATTCTTCCAATTTCGTCCATTTGCTAAACAGCTAGTTGGTTAACGACAGCAGATATTGAGAATCATTAAAAAAAAATTATAAGTTGAGAACAGACAATTATTTCGGAATGCTTTAATTTTACTAATTGTAAAAAATATGACTAAATTGTAACATAAAAAAATTAAAATGAATATTTAGATTGATAAATGATTAACAACTCATAGTTATTACCTGTAATATAAACCCAGTGCCTATAATGTGGGTCTTAAAGTATTAAGATTACCATTAGAAAATCATATTAATAGTTTCAATAAGTTTGACAAATTTTTTTTATATGTGATATACAATATAAATCATAATTATAGAAGTATGTTATGTAAGTGCTGTGTGCATGCTTTAATATCTAGTAAAATGCCTCCAATGTAAAAAACGAAACTTACCCCAGATTTTTTGACAGATTTCGACAAATTATGGCAGTTTTTGTCAAAAACCAACTTTTGACGTGATGTCAAAAACTATTTGATCTGCTTAAAACTTTTAAAATTTTTAAATTAATGAAAAAGAAGTAGCTTATAATTTATTTATTATTAAAAAATTAATGCTAAGACTCAGGGACCATGGAATCAGGAGGTCAGAAGGGGGTTTAGCCCCCTCATTTCACACAGCCCCTTCTAAAATTATAATTTTTCACTCAAAATTCGTGTAATTTAATTTACAGTAAAAAAAAAAAAACAAATAATTTATTTGTGTCTGAATTTAAAAAAAATTTCTCTAATTCAAGTGAGCTTTAATATTTCCTTGATGATAACTACTTCCAAATAATCCCTTACTCATCATCCCGCAAAGGAAATATAGGTCCCTATTCCTGCCCCATGGGAAATTTCTTGGTTTCATATGTCACAGTAAACTGAATCATAATGATATATTTTTAAAAAAAAGTGAAACAGAATAAAAATAAATACTGTTAAAAGAGAAATACATAAATAAATATATTTTATGTATGTGCACACACATATCCGGGTCGGCAGAGAGCCCCCCTTCATTCCTGAAATACTTCCACAGTCACTGCTAAAGCTTTTACTATTTTATATGCAATGCATGTCATATTTGTGCCTTTTCATTATTCTATTTTCAAGTATTTTTTACTTAAATTAATGTATAATTTATATAATACATTGTCTTAAATATATAGTAAAATTTGTATTGACTCCATAGGTTAAAAAAAAATTTATGTTTCATAAAACTTAATTAAAGACAGTTAACAGTTAAATAGTACTGAAATAGGTGGGTACTTTATTTATGAGCATTTTTATATTATAGACAAGCAAGAGACAGGGGTCCACTCTTTAACATATATTACTAAAATATAATTTAAATATTAAGTGATTATTTGTATATCAAGTGGAGTTGTAAATTTATATAAAAGCACATTTAAAGTATTCAGATCTTCTTTTTTATTATGTTAGCATATTTAAGGAACAAAAGTGGATATTTGGGAGTTGTTTACTGAAAACATTAATTTTAAAAAGAATAGTTAAATGCTAAGAAATACTTTGGAATGGTTTAGTTAATTTCAATTAAGGGCTTAAAATATTATTCAACAAATTAGAAAAAAATGGTTTAATCCAAAACGTATACTGAGTTTAAACCAAAAAACAAATAAACAAACAAACAAAAAAAAAAGTTTTTTTTTTCTTACGTGTTTGGGGTGGCTGACTATATTACAATTGTAACTTTTTGTGTTGTTGCAAAATAAGAAGAAACCATTGTCTGTGTCTTTGAAAATCTTTATTTTCCAAAAACATTTTCCTGAAGCTCAAAAGATCCTGACAAAGAAATTTCAACATTTTCAGGATGTGAAAAATTCTTAACTCTGCATTGCCATGGATTTTATTAAAACTTTGCCCAGGAAAAATAAATGTCTAAAACAGGTTTCTTCTCTGTCTTGACAAATTTTTTTATGTGGTGATAAAATAAAACAAACAATATTTTGATATATCTTTGACCATCAGTTCATATTTTTTTGTAGGAAATATATCTATTTTAATATTAAATATATCTGGGTCTGGATTTTATATCACACTTGGTGGCTTCTTAGCCTTTAGTGCTACCTACATAGTTTTGTAGTAAATTTAACTGCTAGATGTAATAGATCAGGCATTTTCACTGTTAAAAAATCATAATTTTTTAAGAGAAATTTTGAGTTATCTATATTTTAATAATTCAACTGAAGCTTTAAGATTAATAACTTGTATATCTCTTTTTTTTTTGTGTAAGGTTTTAACCTTAAAACAACAGCACTGAGCACATATATATAAATGTAGTAGTGTTAAGATTATATTACCTAATATTATGAAGACAAAAATGAATTTTTATTTGTTTAGGCAAATTATGTTCCAGCTTGCGAAGACTATCTTGAAACACAAAAGCCTGAGTATGATACTATATTGTGCTTGAGAGTGACAAAATGGATTCATTTAAATTTCGGAGATGAAGGTTTAAAATTGACATTTAAAAGGATTTATGCACAACTTCGATTTGGCGGTAGATTGATTTTAGAACCTCAGCCTTGGTTTACTTACTCTGCTAGCAAGAGAATTACAGTGAGTATTTTTGTTTTTATAATATAAATTAACCCGGAGGGAAATTTTACTATGAGGAACTCTACCCTGTAATTAAGTTATATCTTAGAATGTCACAGTCATGTAGTACCACAATCCCGGAGAAACTGATTCTGAGCAAGATATTGCTCTAGTTTTTTTCCACAGCCAATCTTAGCTACTAGGACAATTATTCCAAGTATTAAAAATCAACATTTGTAGACTAAATATAATGCAGAGACTCTAACGCCCGTATTCACCATTGACCCTAACCCTCAGTCAGAGTTCAAAACAGGTTTTATGAGAGCAACTCTAGATCAGAGTCCAAAATTTCATTTCACCGTGTACGTAACTGCGAGTTACTCTAACCCAGAGTTGAGTAACTTTAACCTGAAGATATTCCCGGTTAAAGAAACCGCGCATGCGCAGTAAACGAGTGTTTGTTCATTTTCTTCGTTTTTTTCACTACTTTTTATATTTCAGCTCTCTTTCGTTTGATAATTTTAATTATTTTGAATTTCGATATTTTTTTTTTTGTATTTTTAACCTGCAGATTTCCCCGGTTTGAGCAAACGCTAATATGAAGAAGGAGATTTTTTATTTATTTATGTTTTCAAAAATAACACTTTTGATCTTCGGTTGCTTATGTTCAATGAGGTCAATTTTTTCACTTGATGCAACTATAATTAATTTATATCTTTGCCTTGCCTTCAAAAAAATATAGCATACCATAATATTAATAAAATGAAAATATATTAATAAAATGAAAATTAAATAACACTTTATTTTGATGTTCGGTTGCTTTTTTTATGTTTAATAAGATAATTTTTTTACTAGATGTAACTATAATAAATTTACCGTATTTTTCGGCGAAAGCGCCGCTTCGTCGCAAGCGCCGCACCCAGATAAAAATGAAATTTTAAAAAAAAAGTTATAGTAAGCGCCGCAATGGCGCTAAACCGCGCATATCAGCATCCTTTTAGAAGAGACCTTTAAATTACCATTTTGAATATCTGTATAATAAAAAATTATATTTTTTTATGCGTTTTATAAAGTAAAGTTTTAATTTCTAAATTATAATAAAAAATTTCTTTTTCAGCAAAAAAAAAGCAACAAAAAAAGTTTTCTCTTTCAGCAAAAAAAAGAAGAAAAAAAAGAAAACAACGAAACTATAATAAAAAAAAAAAATCATCTATATTCTTTTTATTTGAAATTTTATTCTGTTGAAGTAACTTATTTCATTTTATCTTTCAAAAATAAAAAAGAAGCTTGAAAAAAAAAAATAAATAAATCTGTGTCAAAGGAAACATCTGTTTCTAAAGCAGTTTAAAATAAAGTGAGAAATAAAAACACTTGCATTTCCAATGAACAAAATAAAGAAATGGAAGTTGAAAAAAACTGATCAATCAATCTTGACAGCTGTGCACTTTACTGATTTGCCCCCAAATTTCCCTCCTCTGTTTGACTATAAATTGGCCACACCCAGTTGACATTGAAGCTACCACATGGACAACAAAATGAATTCTATCCCTTTTGCGGTGTTTTATTCGATTCATTAATTATTTTTATTTTGCCGCTTTTTATTTTTTTTTGTTAATTGTTGCTTGCTTGTTTTTTTTTATCGTTATTAGTTTTTAGCTTGTTTTTTGTTGTTATTCATTGTTAGTTTCTTAGCATTAATTGTTAAAAAAAAAATATTTTTTGAACTTCCCTGTTAGCTTTTTTTCTTTTTCTTGCGAGGTAAGCGTCTTTTGTTAAAACAAAATGTTATCTAAAAGAAAAAATTAGAACTATGATCTCGCTCCAAAGAAGAAACGATTATTTCTTCTTCATAGGATTCTGATTATTTCTTCTTGATTATATTATATAGATTATTATTTTGATTAGTAAAATTTCTCTTAAGATGTGCCAGTTTTAAATTCACCCCATCATAATCTACGATCGAAACTTGACTAAATTTATTGGTTTTTCTGAAATTAACAGTGGAATTGAATTATAGTAATATTTGGGGGCCATATTGGAATTTCCAAACGAGATCCGAAGTTGGGCATTTCGTCAGTCCCGTGAGTGTCGGATTTAGGGTCCTTTTCTTCCTTTTCTGTTCGCTCAAATTACAATTGCCAAGGCGCTAAATAGATTTCTAGCTTGCGATTTTTCCTTAAGCTGGGGGTGGATACAAGATGCATACCTTTTAAATTTTCTCCTTATGCGATGTTTTTTTTAAAATTATTATTTCGTTTATTTATTTTCTTACTGGCTGCTGCGGAAAGTTTGCTAAGAATTGGCGATATTCTGCAGTAGATCGCGATACGGGCGGATATTTCGTCGACTTCGTTATGAATTTTTTTAATAGTCTTTCTCTCAGAAAATTAATAAAACTTTCATTGACAAATTTTTTTGCTACTAAAAAATATTTCGTCGGAAAGGCCGCTGCATCGGAAGCGCCGCATGTAGGAAAAAAACATATTTTTTTTCGATAGCGCCGCGGCTCTTCCGCCGAAAAATACGGTATATCAAATAAATGCTTATTAATAAAATGAAAATTAAATTTTCTTGAGTTAATATCTTCTACAGAAGATGCTATATATATTTCTCAAATTATTATTAGCAGTCGTTACAATACTTAAATAATTTTACACTCGAAAAAAAAAGTCGTGGATAATAAAGATTGCGGCTACAATAATTCAAATTAATAGTGTAAGTAAGAAGGTTGTAAATAATTTAATTAACTTTTACTTATTTTTTTAAAAGAAAGAAAACAATCGAAACTTGAAAGAAATATAAAATTTAAAAAGAAATATAATTCATTAAATGTTTTTAGATTTCGATAATATCTATCGAGATGATAGATCTTGCCCTAAAATAAAAATAATTTAGAGTTGAACTTCCAAAATAATGTGCAATATTTAGATATGAAGATAACGAAAAGAATTTAAAATTTTTTAAATCCATAAAATAAAGCTATTAATTAAGTTTAAAAACATATACATTATTTTAAATTTATATTAGAAATTATGCTGAAATAAATATTACTTAATCAATGCAAATTTTGATCCGAGGTAACATTTTAACTACACAATAATTTGCATCAAATAACTTTGCAAATCAGGAAATTTAGAATTTTATAAGCATAAGATAATCTGCTGAATATTTCGAAAAAATAGGATCATTTGGAAGAGATTTATTGCTTAAAACTACATGAAATTAAAATGCCCGTCTTTAGTTATAATTTTTGATATATAGCCTGACTACTTTATGACATATGGGGCATTTATACGACTGATATATTTCCACTTACAATTATCTAAATAATTAAATTTTTAAAGGCATAATTTTTTTAAAATTTTAAAGTTCGGTAAAGTTTGCTCCGATTATGACATTTTCCTTTAAAAAAAATAGTTATCTTATTCACCATATCACCGACGTCAATTCTCTCTTATCATCAGCAGATGGCAGCACAATAGTAGTCATTTATAACTTCTGAATTATATGAATGTGTTGATTTATGCTTATCTGTACTAAGAAGTTTATTATATACAATTTCATTTAAAATTTAAAAAAAAAAATCTTCTCAATGGTTTAAGTTATCAATAATATGTTATGAAGGGGAAGAAAAAAAAAGATTAAAAATACGCGAATAAGGATGATAATGATGTTAGCATAATCCCCTTGATCATAGTGTAAAATAAAAGCATTAAATAATTGTGCGAAATACAAGTATTTTTAACTGAATTTCAGTTTCATTTCTATGGTTGCTTGCGGCTTTATGATATCCATGATAATAAAGTATCTAAATTCATAATAATAAAGCTCGGATCCTTTTGCTCATCAATACAAGTCAGTTAGGAAAATGAAACTAAACATATTTTTTATTTGATCAGTAAAAGAGAGATTCAAATTTAATTACTCGATGCAATATTTTCTTCTTCTTTTAATAGAAATTTTTTTTTAAAAATAGCAATGAAAATTGAAAACAAACGCTGTTAATACGGCTATAAATCTACTGCCTGTTACTGCCAGTCAAGTAACCCGCAGTTAAGAAACCGACGGTCAAAAAATAATGGTGGAATCGCTTTTTAACTCTTGGTCAAAGTTTCCAAACCGAGGGTTTCGGAACTGGGAGTTGCGCGTTAGGTCAGAGTCAACGGTGAATACGGGGGTAAGTATTATGGATTCTCAGTAGTTTCTAGACAATTTTGGCTGTTACTGTGGCCAGTGTGAACTAAAAGTTACTTAATCTAATTGTAAGGAGTTATAAAGCTGTAATGCCTAATCTAGAAAAAAAGTCTTGTTTTGAATGTTCTTTTTTCCCCCAGCCATTTAGCCTGGCTGTTTCAATTTCTATTCATTGATATATAGCACACATGTGAGTAATAACAAATTTTCAAATATGTGTTATTACTTTTTGCCATACCCAATTAACAATTATTCCATGGCGAATCTACTTGGGTTTCTGATTGTTATGGGGTAGCTATTTATAGTTTTTAAGCTATTTCCCCAAGGTCTATCAAACGCCAAGATACTTAACCCTCTCATTCCCGAATTTTTCATTTCAGTAATAAAAAATATTTAGATATACTATCTCAGGATTGGGGTGTTATAATTTATTTGAAAGTTTTTGTCTCGTTTAGTCGAAAATTGGTGTCTGTGAGAAGATATGCATTTATGGAATATTTTATCGATTTAATTTTAATCATGGAAGGACAGAATATTCTAACTTCATTTATAAGGTATAAGAAGATATGAAATAATACAAACCTTTCCAGTATTGTATTATACCTACTCGTCAAAATAAACACAATGTCAGGCTTTCACTTCTTTCTTGAATCCTCCATTGTCTTCCAAAGAGATGATATTCTTTTAACTATCTTGAATGGCCTACCACCTAGTGTAGTTTCCAAGAACTGTTTTGAGTCTGAAAATGAAGACTACATGCAAATTACAGCATAAATGTGAATCTGAATAACTTTAAAATGTAAATATATCTATATGTTCTCATATGA